TCCATTTCCTTGGAGCAGGACGATGGGAATAGCCAGTTAGACATTACCCATGTATCAGTAGTAAGAAAAATTCATCAAAACTAATGTTTTAAAAAGTATTGATCAAGAAGTATAATGAATTTTCCTTTGCCTTTACTGAACAAAAAGTCTTCAATCAAACTTAAGGCAAAAAAAAAAAAAAAAGTAAGGCATGAGGGTGTTCCTAAAATACAGGAGATAGTGGTTTGCTATGTCCTTTTAAAGTAGGAGTATATCTGTCAATAACTTAACTGAGCTCTTTCAAAAACTTCCATTCTGAAACTTCCATTTCTGGTCTTTTTCCTTTACCTCTTTCCTACCATCCTGGGCTCCAAGGAGGTTTAGAGTGAATATGAACAAATGATTAAGAGAATTTTAAAATAACAGAATCTCTGTATACACTCAGTTCCTGAAATGGTCCACCTGGCTCCATTTTATATAAATATAATTATAAAATTTACCATTTTTAAGCCTGTCTACATGTCAGAACTTTATATACTTTGTCATTTGAAGCTGACAAACATCTACCAAGGCACATATTTCTGGAGAGCACCTAAGAGGTTAAACAGCGATTATACCTCATATTAAGTGGCTACTTAGCTAAATTAGAATCCAGATTTGATTCCAACAAACAGGCTTCCTTCAAAACACGTGACTTGGCAACAAATAGATCCTGGTGATTCCCTGCATCCCAAATGGAGAAAAACAACCAATTCCTTCCTAGAAGCCAAGCTTGAGGGACAGTTAGAATTTTCTAATAGCAATTACCACCCCCTTCTGTGACCAAAGCATTATTTAAGCAGTAAAACCTTTCCAGTGGCAATGTCAATTTCACATCCCAGGACTTGGCCCCCCTAGAGGGAGAGGAGGGTCCCTGGTTTTAATTACTTGAATCTGATCTTGGGAAACGCGATCCAGAGACCGCCCCCCGCCAAGCCAGGAAACCCATAATCTTCTCGGGGTGATCTTAGGTTGGGGGACGAAATCCTGCAGGGGACATTTGTTCATCCACATCCAGAGACAACCCTCTCTCCCAACTCATCTCTCCCCCCACAGGTTTAAAACACAAAGGAGGCCACCTAGCCTTTTCCCCTCTCCTCGCCAAAAACATGATCAAGTGTGGACAAGGAAATGCCAATCCCCCTCCAACCTGCCCTTCTCACGGTAACTGGTGCACGTGCGGACTCTCAAACGAATGTGTCCGACCGGTGGTGGTTTAGTCGCTAAATCTTGTCCGACTCTTGCGACCCCATGGACTGTAGCCTGCTAGGCTCCTCTGTCAGTGGGAGTCTCCAGGCAAGAATACTGGAGTGAGTTGCCATTTCCTTCTCCGAGGGCTCTTCCAGACCCATTAATTGAACCCGGGTCTCCTGCATTGCAGACACTTTACCGACTGAGCTATGAGGGAAGCGTCGGACAGTGTATGCACTCAATTCTCTGAGCGGTAAGAGTCCGACTCCGGGACTCCCTGGCACCTGGGCTGCCCAAGTTCCTAGACTCCTGCATCATGCTCCGCCCCCTAAACGCCCCCTCAGCCCTGCCCCGCCCCCTCAGCCCTGCCCAAGGTTCGCCCCGCCCCTTCCCCCTGGCCCCCTCAGCGTCTTCAGCCGCGCACGCGCCAGCGCGCCATCTCGTCTCCATGGCGACGCGACGTCTACTGTTCCACGCTCCCAACACCGAGCAGACCAGGAGCTGGGCTAGCTTTCTGTGTCAACCTTTCCGATGCTCAGCGTGAGAGGGCCACAGAAGGGTAAGAGGCGCCGCACCAAGCACGGTCGCCGTCTCCCCATCCCCGCGAGCAACCTGACCCAGCTTTTCTTACCTCGGACTCCCTCAGGCCCGGAGCCTGAACCCGCCAGCTTCTCTGACCGCTCCAGGTTCGGGCTCTGGCGTCCCACCACAGCCCAGGGAGCGCGAGAAGGTAGGGGCCACGCGACCAGAGGTGCACCTCGTACTTTGGCGTCTTCCTCTGACTGTAGTTCGGCGCTGAGGAAGGGATATTTGTGTCCCTGTGGGTGTGATAACTAAGCGGTTCTGACAGGCGCATCTACACCACTATTCTCTGACCTGCCGATTCGCACATGCCAACTCCCTCCCCTGCTCACCCTCCAAAAAAACAATGAAAATAGCCACGTCTCATCCCAAGGCTTCTGGCTCCTTCCCTCGATCCTCAGACACCCGCCTCTCTTTTTTTTCCTCTAACTTTTGTGAGGCGAGGCGGAGGTGGGGGGAGGATAGCTTAATGGCCAATAAATAGGAGCAGGGACTCACCTGGCTTGAGGTTAATACTTCATTATTCGCTAGACTACTTGCTTGGCCGTGAAGAAATTTCTTTGGAATTTGAGCAAATCATTTAGCCTCCCCGGACCTTATTTTCATCTTCTGTAAAAGAATAGGTTTGGGACAACGGATCACTTTTAAGATCCAGTCTTCCTCCTTCTGTGAGATAATCAAATTGACTTGAAACTTCCAAAATCGAGATCCTGTTCAGATTACACTGTACCCTACCTGGCGTAATTATAAGTTGTCTGACTTCCCAGAGGGCCTAAGTGAAATGGACAGATCTGTTTTTACCCCAAGAGAGTCCTGAAAGTTGCTTTTTAAAAATAAAGGACACTGAAAGTGTCTTTTGATTTGTTTCGTTCTCCTAAAACTAAATACAAATGATCCCAGAATCCTCCGTGTTAATTTTTTTTTTCTTTTTGTAATTGAAGTTTTGTCTTAACTCTCAGGAAAACAACAGCACTGCTCTTTAAGTGTTGAGTTTACCAGAGCTGAATTCCAAAACCTTTGTAGGGATTCAGCTGCATCATTCCAAAATTCCAGAACTTCCACCACCCGCCACACACGCACACTGAGCACCACCATTAGGGCTCAACCTGCAACATTTTATCCCCCTTCATTACCCCATCCAGGCTCAGTTGTGCACCTAAAACTCTAAGTCAGAGTTCAGCTTCAGCGCTGTCTCTGCTAGGCTGTAGGTAGTAATAACAATAGGAGGAGGAAGAGTTGGAGTAGTTAGAATTATAGGAGCAGATAGGTGCTTCTGTTATTTACTGTGAGCTATTTATATTAATCCTTGAAGTACTCTGTAAAGCAGGTGGTACTGAAACTGCTGGGTGGCATATTGGAGGCTTCAAGGAACTCCAGTTCTGTATGTCTCAGCACAGAAAGAATTCAGCAAGAGACAAAGTAATAGATAAGAAGTGACTTATTAGAATAGGATGCTTCTGAGGGTGACAAGTTGAGCCACACCCAGAGCTAAGTAGTCTACAGTTTTATAGTCAAAGGAAAAGTGAGGAGGGAGAGAAGACCACCTTCTTCCTCATTCCTGAGTAGACATCAGGCTTCCAGCATCAGTTCCTCCTCCACATCTGGCAAGGGAGTTTTCTTGTCCCCATGTGGTCAAATTGGGATTGTCATGGTGCAGTTGCTGCTGCTGCTAAGTTGCTTCAGTCGTGTCTGGCTCTGTACGACCCCATAGACAGCAGCCCACCAGGCTCCTCCATCCCTGGGGTTCTCCAGGCAAGAACACTTGAGTGGGTTGCCATTTCCTTCTCCAATGAAGGAAAGTGAAAAGTGAAAGTGAAGTTGCTCAGTCATGTCTGACTCTGCGACCCCATGGACTGCAGCCTACCAGGCTCCTCCGTCCATGGGATTCTCCAGGCAAGAGAACTGGAGTGGGTTGCCATTGCCTTCTCCACATGGTGCAGTGAAAATGAGCAAAAAGTGGCCTGCTATACTGTCCTAAGTCGCTTCAGTCGTGTCTGACTCTGTGTGACCCTATGGATTGTAGCCCACCAGGCTCCTCTGTCCGTAAGATTCTCCAGGCAAGAATACTGGAGTAGGTTGCTGTACCCTCCTCCAGAGGATCTTCCTGACCCGGGGATTGAACCCATGTCACTTACCTCACCTGCATTGGTAGGCGGGTTCTTTACCTGTAGCACCCCTATGCTAACATATGGCATATCTCATAATCATCATTTCATTATGTTGATTTCCTTATATTTTTGTTTTCTTTTATATTTTTTCCTTATATTTTTGTTTTCTGTAGCATGCAGAAGAATATATCCTAGGACTCATTCACGTGCTGAGCTCACTGGGCAGAATGTGTGTCTCATTCCACCATTGTTTTGTTTTGGGACATGTCTCATGCTTCTGTTCCATGAGTAAGCAAACCTACTTTCTTGAGTGATCATTAACTTATAGGAGTCTCCCATACTTCTTTATTTACAATCCCCCAGTTGAATTAACTACTTAATCACTCTGTCCCTTTCAGTATTTTTGTCATTTTACACTTGAGGAGAGTGAATCATAGAGGCATTAAGGAACTTGCTCGAGATCACACCATTCGCTGGGATTTGAACATAGGCAATCTGACTTCAGAGTCTGAACTCCTTGCACTATATAAAATTTATAGGTAGTCACTTTTAAATATGAATGTAAGTGAAAGATGATCACTGAAATAATTTTATACACACTTGAGACTTTGCCATGAAATATTACCCTCCCCTGTTCAGTTTCCCCATTAAGCTCCTCTAGGATGGAAGTGAAAGTCACTGAGTCGTGTCCAACTCTTTGCGACCCCATGGACTGTAGCCTGCTAGGCTCCTCTGTCAGTGGGAGTCTCCAGGCAAGAATACTGGAGTGAGTTGCCATTTCCTTCTCCGAGGGCTCTTCCCGACCCATTAATTGAACCCGGGTCTCCTGCATTGCAGACACTTTACCGACTGAGCTATGAGGGAAGCGTCGGACAGTGTATGCACTCAATTCTCTGAGCGGTAGGAGTCCGACTCCGGGACTCCCTGGCACCTGGGCTGCCCAAGTTCCTAGACTCCTGCATCATGCTCCGCCCCCTAAACGCCCCCTCAGCCCTGCCCCGCCCCCTCAGCCCTGCCCAAGGTTCGCCCCGCCCCTTCCCCCTGGCCCCCTCAGCGTCTTCAGCCGCGCACGCGCCAGCGCGCCATCTCGTCTCCATGGCGACGCGACGTCTACTGTTCCACGCTCCCAACACCGAGCAGACCAGGAGCTGGGCTAGCTTTCTGTGTCAACCTTTCCGATGCTCAGCGTGAGAGGGCCACAGAAGGGTAAGAGGCGCCGCACCAAGCACGGTCGCCGTCTCCCCATCCCCGCGAGCAACCTGACCCAGCTTTTCTTACCTCGGACTCCCTCAGGCCCGGAGCCTGAACCCGCCAGCTTCTCTGACCGCTCCAGGTTCGGGCTCTGGCGTCCCACCACAGCCCAGGGAGCGCGAGAAGGTAGGGGCCACGCGACCAGAGGTGCACCTCGTACTTTGGCGTCTTCCTCTGACTGTAGTTCGGCGCTGAGGAAGGGATATTTGTGTCCCTGTGGGTGTGATAACTAAGCGGTTCTGACAGGCGCATCTACACCACTATTCTCTGACCTGCCGATTCGCACATGCCAACTCCCTCCCCTGCTCACCCTCCAAAAAAACAATGAAAATAGCCACGTCTCATCCCAAGGCTTCTGGCTCCTTCCCTCGATCCTCAGACACCCGCCTCTCTTTTTTTTCCTCTAACTTTTGTGAGGCGAGGCGGAGGTGGGGGGAGGATAGCTTAATGGCCAATAAATAGGAGCAGGGACTCACCTGGCTTGAGGTTAATACTTCATTATTCGCTAGACTACTTGCTTGGCCGTGAAGAAATTTCTTTGGAATTTGAGCAAATCATTTAGCCTCCCCGGACCTTATTTTCATCTTCTGTAAAAGAATAGGTTTGGGACAACGGATCACTTTTAAGATCCAGTCTTCCTCCTTCTGTGAGATAATCAAATTGACTTGAAACTTCCAAAATCGAGATCCTGTTCAGATTACACTGTACCCTACCTGGCGTAATTATAAGTTGTCTGACTTCCCAGAGGGCCTAAGTGAAATGGACAGATCTGTTTTTACCCCAAGAGAGTCCTGAAAGTTGCTTTTTAAAAATAAAGGACACTGAAAGTGTCTTTTGATTTGTTTCGTTCTCCTAAAACTAAATACAAATGATCCCAGAATCCTCCGTGTTAATTTTTTTTTTCTTTTTGTAATTGAAGTTTTGTCTTAACTCTCAGGAAAACAACAGCACTGCTCTTTAAGTGTTGAGTTTACCAGAGCTGAATTCCAAAACCTTTGTAGGGATTCAGCTGCATCATTCCAAAATTCCAGAACTTCCACCACCCGCCACACACGCACACTGAGCACCACCATTAGGGCTCAACCTGCAACATTTTATCCCCCTTCATTACCCCATCCAGGCTCAGTTGTGCACCTAAAACTCTAAGTCAGAGTTCAGCTTCAGCGCTGTCTCTGCTAGGCTGTAGGTAGTAATAACAATAGGAGGAGGAAGAGTTGGAGTAGTTAGAATTATAGGAGCAGATAGGTGCTTCTGTTATTTACTGTGAGCTATTTATATTAATCCTTGAAGTACTCTGTAAAGCAGGTGGTACTGAAACTGCTGGGTGGCATATTGGAGGCTTCAAGGAACTCCAGTTCTGTATGTCTCAGCACAGAAAGAATTCAGCAAGAGACAAAGTAATAGATAAGAAGTGACTTATTAGAATAGGATGCTTCTGAGGGTGACANACCTGGGGAGTTCATCTTTCAGTGTCCTATCTTTTTGCCTTTTCATACTGTTCATGGGGTTCTCAAGGCAAGAATACTGAAGTGGTTTGCCATTCCCTTCTCCAGTGGAACACATTCTGTCAGACCTCTCCACCATGACCTGATCGTCCTGGGTGGCCCCACACGGCATGGCTTCGTTTCATTGAGTTAGACAAGACTGTGGTCCTGTGATCAGATTGCCTAGTTTCTGTGATTATGGTTTCAGTGTGCCTGCCCTCTGATGCCCTCTCGCAACACCTACCGTCTTACTTGGGTTTCTCTTACCTTGGACGTGGGGTATAGTCCATGGAATTCTCCAGTCCATAATACTGGAGTGGGTAGCCTTTCCCTTCCCCAGTAGATCTTCCCAATCCAGGAATTGAGCCCAGGTCTCCCACATTGCATGAATCAGCTGATTCTTTATCAGCCGAGCCACAAAGGAAGCCCAAAACACAAGGAAACCCATCCATCCTCAAGGATGGTGCTTAATTAACTGTCTCTCCTCCTCACAATTTCAGGCCTAAGCATGTAGCTGTCTACCTATAACTCCCCCTTTGCCTGTTTGAATAAAAAGTAATTTATAAAAACAAATAGCACAAAAGGATGAAATAACTACACATGTAGGATAAAGAAAATATATATCTCTCAATTTTTTATTACAAAAAAATATGAGATGTTTTACCTTTTTTGGTACTAAGTCTTTTTAAGATTTTCTTATTATTTATTTTTCATTGTGCGGGATCGTCACTGCTGCCCGCAGGCTTTCTCTGCTTGCAGTAGATGGGCTTCTCACTGTGTTGGCGTCTCTTGCTGCAGAACACAGTCTCTAGGCACGAGGGCTTCAGTAGTTGCAGCTCTCAGGCTCTAGAGCGTGGACTCTAGTTGTGGCGCCTGAGCTCAGTTGCTTCGTGGCATGAGAACTCTTCCTAGACCAAGGATCGAAACTGTGTCTCCTGCATTGGCAGATGGACTCTTACCCGCTGTACCACCAAAGAGTCCAGTACTAAGTCTTTATAATCTGATGTGCATATCTCAAATCTAACTAATCGCACTTTAAGTGCTCAGTTGCCACATGTGGTGAGTGGCTACCATGTTGCAAAGCTCTAGTTTAATATGTTCTTTTCCTTTACTCTGTTGTTGCTTCCCTGATAACTCAGTTGGTAAAGAGTCCACCTGCAATGCCGAGGATCCCGGTTCGATTCGTGGGTCAGGAAGATCCCCTGGAGAAGGGATAGGCTATACCCACTCCAGTATTGTTGAGCTTCCTTTGTGGCTCAGCTAGTAAATAATCCATCAACAATGTGGGAGATCTAGGTTCGATCTCTGGGTTGGGAAGATCCCCTGGAAATGGGAAAAGGTATCCACTCCAGTATTTTGGCCTGGAGAACTCCACGGACCCCATGTATATTCCATGGGCTTACAAAGAGTTGGACATGGCTGAACGACTTTCACTTCACTTGTTGCATTCCTTCTTATTCTATTCATTTAATAAATGTTAATATTTACCAAGGGCCAATTTGTGTGACATGAAGTACATTAAGTACTAGAGTTTTTTTTCTTAAGTGGCTTAAATTTATCTGTTCTTTGTAGCCCAAAAAACTAGCTGAATTAACCGAATTGTTGACTGGGGTTTTGGTTATTGACAGTCAATTTTTCCTGAAAAGCCAGGGCTGTATCTGATAAAACCTAAGGATAGCTGGGAGCTATGTTTTGCATCATGTGTAGAAAATCTGCCTACATTGAGAGAGAGAAGAATGAGACCCATGTGAAAGGAGAAGTGGAGATGAGCAAGGGGAAGTCCCCGCTTAAGCGCCACACTCTCGTGACCACAGCTGTAGCCACTGTGTCCTGATTCCACACAGCTTGTGTATTCGACTCTTGGATTCTATGAGCCAGGGTTTCCCTGTTGTGCCTAAGCTACCTTGAGCATGGTTTCTGGAACTTGCAACTGGGAGTTCAGGCTCATACAGCTAAGAGACATTAAGTGCATACTAATACTCATTTGAAAAATACATACTTATGTGATGGCTGTACCTTTTTCTGAAAAATTATCAGTCTCTGCTTTAACTTTACCTGTGTTCTCAATTGCTTTTTCCCTGGAGTCAGTGATCTTTCTAAGCAAGTATCATTACTTTAGGGCTTATCTGATTGATTAATTAATTAAAAGTCCTTAGAGCTAGCCTGCTTGTCTCAATCACAGTAAAGCCTGCTTTTTGTTTCCCTAAGCAATCTTAATCAGCCCCTGAAGACATCATCTCAGTTTTTCCTTTGGATGTAACATCAAGTTGTTTCTACCATATCCCTCCTATGTGCCAGGCACTGTACTAAACCCCTTACCCAGATCATCCTACTTAATGCTTATAATGAGCCAATGAGGTTGGCACTGTTGTGACCCCTGCTTTACAGATGGAGGAACTGAGGCCTACAGAAGTTTTAACTCACCCAGGTTTAGATGGGAAGTGGCAGAATGGAATATGAACCCAGTGTCTTTACTCAAGAGCCCAACTTTTTTTTTTTTAATTGACATATAGTTAATTTACAATGTTGTGTTAGTTTCTGGTGTCAGCAAAGTGACTCGGATATATATATACACACATATATATGTACATACAGTATACTTTTTCATATTCTGTTTCATTATGGTTTATTATAAAATACTGAATATAGTTCCCTATGCTGGAGTAGGGCTTTATTGTTTATTTTATGTATAGAAGTTTGTATCTGCTAATCCCAAACTCCTAATTTATCCTTCCCCCTGCTTTCCCCTTTGGTAGCCGTGTTTGTTTTCTATGTCTGTGAATCTCTTTCTGTTTTGTAAATAAGTTCACTTTTATCATGTTTTTAGAGCCCACATATAAGTGGTACCATATGATATGTCTTCATCTGACTGACTTCACTTAGTATGATTATCTCTATGTCCATCCATGTTGCTGCAAATGACATTATTTCATTTTGTATGACTGAGTGGTAATATTCCATTGTATATATGCAGCACATCTTCTTTATCTGTTCATCTGTTGATAAACATTTTGATTGCTTCCACATCTTGGCTTTTGTAAATAATGCTTCTACGAACATTGGAGTTCATGTATCTTTTTAAGTTAGAGTTTTTTCTTGATATATACCCAGGAGTGGGACCACTGGATCAAATGGTAACTCCATTTTTAGTTTTTTTAAGGACCCTCCGTACTGTTTTCCATAGTGCCTGCACCAGTTTACATCCCCACCACAGTGTCGGAGGGTTCCTTTTTCTTCACACTCTCTCCAGCATTTATTATTTGTAGATTTTTTCATAAGAGCCATTCTGACCAGTGTGAGGTGGAACCTCATTGTGGTTTTGATTTGTATTTCTCTAATAATTAGTGATTTTAAGCATCTCTTCATGTGCTCGTTGGTCATCTGTATGTCTTCTTTGGAGAAATGCCTATTAGGTCTTCTGCCCATTTAAAACAATTTTTTATTGAAGTATAGTTTATTTACAATGTAGTCTTGCTTTCAGGCATACAGCAAAGTGAATCAGTTATGTACATACATGTATCCACTCGTGTTTAGATTCTTTTCTCCTAGGGGTGTTAGAGTATTGAGTAGAATTTCAGTGCTCTATAGCAGGTTCTTATTAGTTACCTGTTTATATATAGAAGTATATATAGATCAGTCCCAATCTCCCAATTTATCCCTCCCCTCCATTATCTCTTGGTAACCATAAGTTTTTTTTCTACATTTGTGATTCTACTTCTATTTTATAAATAAGTTCATTTGTACCCTGTTTTTTTTTTATATCACTTATAAGTGGTATTATATGATATTTGTCTTTCTATGTCTGACTTTCTTCACTCAGTATGGCAATCTCTAGGTCCATCCATGTTGCTACCAATGGCATTGTTTTATTCTCTTTTATGACTAACATTCCATTGTATATATGTAGCACATCTTTTTTATCCATTCCCCTGTTGATGGACATTTAAGTTGCTTCCATGTCCTAGCTATTATAAATAGCACTGCAGTGAATATTGTGGTACATGCATGTTTTTTTGAGGCTGGCTTTTATTAGGTTCTGGGAGGAAGCTGGGGAGGGTTGTTTTGAACAAAAGCTCATTGGAGGAGAAAGAGAGTTCAGAGTTGTGGTGGTTTCTTGTTGGCACCAAGTGGAGGGCAGTTTGCTGTTACTAAGGTGTGTGGGAATCTTCTTTCTTCCTGCTGATAGTGAATATTGAGACTAGTGGGAATGCATGAGAACCCACACTATGTGGCTCCCTGACTTCATTTTGTATCAGGATGCCGCAGCATCCTTAGTGGCACCCTAGTGTTTGAGGGAATGCCCCCTGCACACAGATTCTGTACCATTTTGTAGATGAACAAAGACCCTAGGACGTGCATGGGAGAGTCCATTTAGCAACTTGAAGGGCCCCCAATGTATTCCTGGATGGCCGCTCCAGACTGAAGGTGGAGCTTCGGGTAAGCTTAGCAATCAGAAGGGGTGACATCTGCTTGTGCTGGGATCATGTCTTGAAGGCTGTCAGAGACAGAATAGCAGTAGTAGTGCTTGTTCAGTCATGTCAACCTGGTAGTTGACATTCTTTGCAACCTGGTGGACTGTGGCCTGCCAGGCTCCTCTGTCCACAGAATTTCCCAGGCAAGAATACTGGGATGGGTTGCCGTTTCCTTCTCTGCATGTATCTTTTGGAATTATGGTTTTCTCTGGGTATATGCCCAGGAGTGGGATTGCTGGGTCATATGATAGTTCTATTTTTAGTTTTTTAAGGAACCTCCTTAATGTTCTCCATAGTTGCTGTGCCAATTTGCATTCCTACCAGCAGTGTAGTAGGGTTCCCTATTCTCCACACCCTCTCAGCATGTATTGTTTGTAGACTTTTTGATGACAGCCATTCTGACCCATGTGAGGTGATACCTCATTGTAGTTTTGATTTGTATTTCTTTAATTAGATGTTGAGCATCTTTTCATGTGGTATTTGGCCATCTGTATGTCTTCTTTGGAGAAATGTCTTTAGATGTTCCATCCATTTCTTGATTGGGTTATTTGATTTTTGGTATTGAGCTGTATGCACTGTTTGTATATTTAGAGATTAATCCCTTGTCAGTTATATTGTTTGCAAACATTTTCTCCTGTTCTGTAGGTTGTCTTTTTGTTTTGTTTATGATTTCCCTTGCTGTGCAAAAGCTTTTAAGTTTGATTAGTTCCCATTTGTTTATTTTTGTTTTTATTTTTTTCAGCCTGTGAGACTGATCCTAGAAAATATTGCTATGGTTTATGTCTGAGAATGTTTTGCCTGTGTTTTCTTTTAGGAGTTTTTTTGTTGTCATGTCTTCAACTTCGATATTTAAACCAGTTTGAATTTATTGGCATATTTGGTGTGAGGGAATACTCATTTCATTGATTTACATGCAGGTATGTCCAGCTTTGGGCTTCCCTTGTAGCTCAGTCGGTAAAGGATCTGCCTGCAGTGTAGGAGACCCGGGTTCAATCCCTGGGTTGGGAAGATCCCCTGGAGAAGGAAATGGCAACCCACTCCAGTATCCTTGCCTGGAAAATCTCATGGACAGAGGCGCCTGGTGGGCTGCAGTCCATGGGGTCGCAAAGAGTTGGACATGACTAAGCGACTAACATGCACATGTCCAGCTTTCCCAACACCACTTGCTGAAGAGACTGTCTTTTCTGCATAATATATAGCCTTGCCTCATTTGTCATAGATTAATTGACCATAGGTGTGTGAGTTTATTTCCAAAGAGCCCCCAACTCTTGACTATTACTTCGTACTGCCTCCCAAAGATGTGTTCAGTTTTATGAAAGGAGATTAAGTGAACATTTCCTAGGTAACGATAAAGCCAGACCTAGCAGAGATGGGGTTTCCATCAAGGGCTGGGATCTGCATATCCTAGGTCTTTCTTTTCCAGGTGAAATTGGAAAGTGAATTATATGCACTGATGTTTCGTCCAGGTAAAGGATGGAAGTAGCAATCCATAAAGACCTTAGAGCTAGAAGGGAAAGTTCAGTTCAGTCACTCAGTTGTGTCCGATTCTTTGTGATCCCATGAACCGCACACGCCAGGCCTCCCTGTCCGTCACCAACTCCTGGAGTCCACCCAAACCCATGGCCACTGAGTCAGTGATGCCATCCAACCATCTCATCCTCTGTCGTCCCCTTCTCCTCCTGCCCTCAATCTTTCCCAGCATCAGGGTCTTTTCAGATGAGTCAGCTCTTCGCATCAGGTGGCCAAAGTATTGGAGTTTCAGCTTCAACATCAGTCCTTCCAATGAACACCCAGGACTGATCTCCTTTAGGATGGACTGGTTGGATCTCCTTGCAGTCCAAGGGACTCTCAAGAGTCTTCTCCAACACCACAGTTCAAAAGCATCAATTTTTCGGAGCTCAGCTTTCTTTATAGTCCAACTCTCACATCCATACATGACCACTGGAAAAACCATAGCCTTGACTAGATGGACCTTTGTTGACAAAGTAATGTCTCGGCTTTTTAATATGGGAAAGGAAAGCTCTAAATACAATAGGAAGACCCAGACACATGGGCACCCACAGGATGGGGGAATCTGTGGCATGTAAGTACCTCTCAGGAGAGGTCACCTTAGATTTCTTTTGCTAAGATCTTACTTAGTTCATTATTGCATTGTTTTGGCTTCAGAGCTCCACTGCTGTAGAGAATCAAGAGTAGAATCTTTCATTTATCCTAGAGCTTGGTCTTCTACAACTGTTTTCCCAAAAAGATGCCTTTCTTTTTTGAGATCCTTTGGTTCTCTCTGTGAGCTTCTCAGAGGAATAATCAAATTAATAACATAAATAACGTCTGGCTTGATCACAGTTCCCCAGAAAACAGTGCCTAAGGCAAAAGTGTACTATTGCAAGTGCAAATAAGTGTGAGGAAGACACATTTAAAAAGAGAGAAACTTAATGCAAAATAATGAAGCTTCTCTTTTTATTGTCTACAGTTTTGGTCCTGAATTTTATGTTCCAGAAATCCCTAGATATTACTACTAATAATTTCTTTTCTTTTCTTTTCTTTTTACTACTAATAATTTTTGAAGCCTGGCTTGGAGTATGGAGACTGTTGGGGTGGAAAGGGCAAGTGAATTAAAAAAAAGCTTAAAAGTTGATTTTTCTCTTTCCAATTAGAATGAAATGTATTCAGATATATAAAAAACTAAGTTATAGAAAAATCAGTCTACATAGGCTAATTTTAAAAAGATAAAACATTTCAAGAGAAAACATTGTAACTTATAAGTATTGATAAACTCATACAGGAACTTTCATCAGGTAAGAATTATATTTTAAACTGTATCTTTGCATAAAATCAAAGGTTTATTTCTAAATGTGTTTTTTGAAATATTTTACTAAAACTACTTCATCTTGAAATATCATTGAAAAACTTCTTGTTCTGGCTAATATACATCTATAAAGGTGTTTTTCATAACACGGATGAACTAGAGTATGGCAGGTAGTTTGGTTTACGTGTTGCTTTTCTTTGTTAAAGTAGGAAAGGAAAGCAGTGTTGTAAACACATGCCACACTGAATTTGTGGTTTCTGGGGTCAGCTGAGTAGGAAAGGGATACCCTCAACCTGCTGTATCATAACAATATTTGGATCCAGATCTAGAGTCCAAGTTATATAAAGCCAAAAAGGTAACATAATTAGAGGCTAATTTAGTACATCACTTTTCTAACTTGCAAAATTATCCCTATAGCTCTTTTTACATAAACTCCAGGGCTTCCCTGATAGCTCAGTTGGTAAAGAGTCCGCCTGCAGTGCAGGAGACCCTGGTTTGATTCCTGGGTTGGAAAGATCCACTGGCGAACGGATAGGCTACCCGCTCCAGTATTCTTGGGCTTCCCTTGTGGCTCAGCTTGTAAAGAATCTGCCTACAATGCGGGAGACCTGGGTTCAGTCCCTGGGTTGGGAAGATCCCCTGGAGAAAGGAACCTACTCCAATATTCTGGCCTGGAGAATTCCATGGATTGTATAGTACATGGGGTTGCAAAGAGTCAGACATGACTGAGCAACTTTCACTTCATTTCAAGGTGAAATGGGAAGAGGAAGCTTTAATTTCTTTATGCTTTTTTAAAATCAGATTTTATAATCCAGAGGAATAATGTTTTTCACTTAGTATGAAAATAATGCTACTAAAAACAATACCAAAATACATGCTTACTGCCCTGCTGACAGACTGAGTTGTGCATTCTGTTTTATTTATATTCCAAGTTTATAAAAATGTTTAAAGACTTACAGAGTAAATATTTTGGTTTTTTGCAGGAATCATCTAGACAGGACAGATGCTGTATAGGTAAGACTATACAAACTAATTTTTAGGATGCTTTGATTCTTTCTTACCATCAATTTATATAATTTTGGAATAATTGACTTTAGTATAAAATTATATTTTAGCCTGAAAGTGAAAGTCGCTTAGTCATGTCTGACTCTTTGCAACCCCATGGACTGTCCATGGAATACTCGAGGCCAGAATACTGGAGTGGGTAGCCTTTCCCTTCTCCAGGAGATCTTCCCAACCCAGGGATCAAACCCAGGTCTCCCACATTGCAGGCAGATTCTTTACCAGCTGAGCCACAAGGGAAGCCCAAGAATACTAGAGTGGGTAGCCTATCCCTTCTCCAGTGGATGGATCTTCCTGACCCAGGAATCAAACCAGGGTCTCCTGCATTGCAGGTGGATTCTTTACCAACTGAGTTATCAGGAAGCCCCCTATATTTTAGCCTTGATAACAAAAATGTTCATATAAAGGCTGTGAATAAATTATTCAAGTACCTCAAGCTAAAATAATATTGATAATGCTAGTTTTTATTTCTGCTTCTCTCATAGGCACCAAAAGATAGACAGAATGGCAGATTGCTAATGTTTGATCCAAAGGGTGAATGATTTATTACTTTAAAAGAATGTATTTGATCACCCTTTTGTCCTAAATATTAAGATAGTCTGTAGGAATGGTTGAGTGTGGTTGAGTTAGCAATTAAATCCTTTATTACACTGCCTGTCACTCAAACAATGCCTAAATATTTGCCAGTCAGGAATTCCTATTAAGAACATCATTATTAATAAAATACTGGGTTGAGCTTTTTTTCTTCTCTTTCAGAAAAAGTGATGATTGAACCAAATGAAGGAATGTCAGAGTAAGAAGATGTCTCTCATTGAGCATCTGATCTATCATGCCTTTTAAGCAATTAGAAGTAGATAATGCAGTCATTTGTCACCCAATTAAATTTGAAAGGCCAGAAACGCATGGATTAGCACTTAGCTTTTACTTCAGTCAAAGCAACTGTTTCTTAGATAAGAGGATATTTTAAATGAAAAATGAATTTTGATAAAAATGTAGGGGTATAGATAATATTCAAACCTACTTCTCAACTGCTTAAACACCAAGTATTCTGTATTTTACTTACTTAACTTTCATTGCTTATTCTTGTTTCACTTTGATACTTGCTTGTTTCTTTGAGAATATCATTTTAAAGGAATATTTACCTTAAAATCAGATTTTTATTTACTATGAGAAGAACAATTACTACTAAGTAAGGAAAATAATCACCCCAACTAGTTGAAGAGATTGGTGTTGAAAGAATCATAGTCCAGTTTCAATTTAGTAGCTAAATATTAAGTACCTGCTTTGTTCAAGGCACTGATTCTGGTAAACCATCAGAGTCCATTATTTCCTGACATAATCATCTATCTACTGAAAAAAAATCAATTATTTATTCCATGAGAAATTGCATTTTGAAAGTTGATCATAAAACACATTCATAGGGTTCAATTATTGACAAATTGGTAGTGCACTTCTAGTAGAATTCTATTCAAATCAAAATTATTTTGAATTATTCTGAATATTATTGGCTGGGAAAAATATACCTTATACAACATATGTTTTAACTTACATACTGTCAAAGCTGAAAATTAAAATTAGGGTTCACTTTGACTTTTGCAAATTGTGTAGTAAATATGTGTTTTTATATTAAAGAGAAGGTAATATATTACAGATCAATGACAGAATCTGTGCTTATTTCAGAGTAAATGTTATAGACAACAAGGAAAAGATAAATGCCCCATTAACTATATTAATCTAAATGTAATTATATATTATGTATCCTATTACATGGTTGAAAAGATTTAAATAAAAATCTAAGAAAATTTTAGTAGTCTTTGAGGGAAATATGATATACCTTTAATAATAATGAGAGTTAGTAGCTATTAATGAAAATAAATATTGTGTCTATGAACCCCAGTGTTCATAGACTGTGATAAGCAATACTGGAACTGGAGCAAGAGGTAACCCATATCCTGAGGTAGTTAAACCCCAGGGGCAAATCAGATGCAGTCTGGGCCAAGAAAGAAAAGCAGCGTGCATGTGTGCTCAGGTGTGTCTGACTCTTTGCAGCCCCATGGACTGGAGCCCACCAGGCTTCTCTGTCCTGGAATTTTTCAGGCAAGAATTCTGGGGTTGCCATTTCCTACTCGAGGGGATCTTCCCAACCCAGGGATCAAACCCACATCTCCTGCATTGTCAGGATTCTATAGCGCTGTGCCACCTGGAAAGCCCAAGTGGCTGCCAGTTTTCTTGATCTCATTAATAATTGCATCTGGTTATCAAACTACTTTTTGCAAGAGCAGTATGATCATGTTCTGTTAACTTCACTTGCAGAGAAGAGTTTAGGTTTGGTTTGGTTATTATTTGGAGTAGGGGAGAAGGAGGGATAGGTAGATAGCCAGTAATCTTCATAGGTGCATGGCTTTGTAACTCAGCTGCCTTACCCAAGCAGATTCTTTACCATCTGAGCCACAAGGGAAGCCCAGTCTCACCGAGAGTTGAAGGTAAACAGAGCCAGTTCTGGAGAAAAGAAAGTAAAAGATCAGGTAGGGACACAGAAAACCATGGGGACCTATGCTGAGGAGCAGTGTGACTGACCTACAGACTTGATGGATTTTCTCAGCGTAGCCTGCGTTCCACTCCCCACCCTCTTTCCAGCTCCACAGTCTGACTGGCAAGTGGAATTTCCTGAAAGGTACTATCCAGGTTGGATTAGAGAAATCTAGGCATTTTCTTTCCCCACCAGTTCTTTGCCTTAATCTTCTGATTGAGTTTTCATTCTAATCTGGGCCACAAGCAGTGTGTGAACTTTCATAAAACAAGAGTTTCACACTTCTCTGTACACAGAGGCCAAATAACTCATTTCCTTTTTTCCTCATGGATCCCGTATGTCAGAGATTTTGTCTACCCAACAAATGGCACTTAATTAACAAACCATTTTCAGCAGTAAAAGTAAAGTGTATCTTTAATGCTGGATAAAGTCTTATAGATGGTGGACCTTCGATCTGTTGGATTTTTTGGTCAAGCTTTCAAGTTCATAGATGTGTGGGGAAAATGGCTAAATGAAACCCACAGAACTCAACTCATTGAGGCTGATAAAATAGTATCTATAGGTTATTCCATAATCATATTTTACCTTTTATAAAATGTATGACACATTTTTTTATTCCCATTTTTACTCTTTTAAGTAAATGCCTCTTTAGACACAGACCAAGATTAGCAAGCAAAATTTATACCTCACTGACTTTTGCTGCTGCTGCTAAGTCACTTCAGTCATGTCCGACTCTGTGCAACCCCATGGACTGCAGCACACCAGGCCTCCCTGTCCATCACCAACTCCCAAATTTCAAGACTGCAGTCACCATCTGCAGTGATTTTGGAACCCCCCAAAATTAAGTCTGTCACTGTTTCCCCACCTATTTGCCATGAAGTGATGGGATCAGATGCCATGATCTTAATTTTCTGAATGTTAAGTTTTAAGTCAACTTTTTCACTCTCCTCTTTCACTTTCGTCAAGAGGCTCTTTAGTTCTTCGCTTTCTGCCACAAGGGTGGTGTCATCTGCATATCTGAGGTTATTGCTATTTCTCCCAGCAATCTTGATTCTAGCTTGGGCTTCATCCAGCCCAGCATTTAGCATGATGTACTCTGCATATAAGTTAAATAATAGAGTGACAATATACAGCCTTGACGTACTCCTTTCCCGATTTGGAACCAACCAGTCTGTTGTTCCATGTCCAGTTCTAACTGTTGCTTCTTGACCTGCATACAGATTTCTCAGGAGGCAGGTAAGGTGGTCTGGTATTCCCAACTCTTCAAGAATTTTCCACAGTTTGTTGTGATCCACACAGTCAAAGGCTTTGGCATAGTCAATAAAGCAGAAGTAGATGTTTTTCTGGAACTCTCTTGCTTTTTCGATGATTTCTATGTTGACAATTTGATCTCTGGTTCCTTTGCCATTTCTCAATCCAGCTTGAATATCTGAAAGTTCATAGTTCACATACTGTTGAAGCCTGACTTGGAGAATTTTGAGCATTACTTTGCTAGCGGGTGAGATGAGTGCAATTGTGTGGTAGTTTGAGCATTCTTTGGCATTGCCTTTCTTTGGGATTGGAATGAAAACTGACCTTTTCCAGTCCTGTGGCCACTGCTGAGTTTTCCAAATTTGCTGGCATATTGAGTGCAGCACTTTCACAGCATCATCTTTTAGGATTTGAAATAGCTCAACTGGAATTCTATCACCTCAACTAGCTTTGTTCATAGTGATACTTCCTAAGGCCCACTTGACTTCACATTCCAGGATGTCTGGCTCTAGGTTAGTGATCACACCATCATGATTATCTGGGTCGTGAAGATCTTTTTTGTATAGTTCTTCTTTGTATGGTTGCCACCTGTTCTTAATATCTTCTGCTTCTGTTAGGTCCATATCATTTCTGTCCTTTATTGTGCCCATCTTTGTATGAAATGTTCCCTTAGTATCTCTAATTTTCTTGAAGAGATCTCTAGTCTTCCCCATTCTATTGCTTTCCTCTATTTCTTTGCACTGATTGCTGAGGAAGGCTTTCTTATCTCTCCTTGCTATTCTTTGGAACTCTGAATTCAAATAGGGATATCTTTCCTTTTCTCCTTTGCCTTTTGCTTCTGTTCTTTTCACAGCTATTTGTAAGGCCTTCTCAGACAACCATTTTGCCTTTTTGCCTTTCTTTTTCTTGGGGATGGTCTTGATCACTGCCTCCTGTACAGTGTCATGAACCTCTGTCCATAGTTCTTCAGGCACTCTGAATATAAATATAAATAATTTGATAAATATAAATAATTTTAAAACAAAGTTTAAAATATGAACTTTAAAGAATTATTAATTCCAGTAGAAACTTGAGGACATTTAATGTACTTAACATTCTAATTAATTATAAAACCTGGATTATCTGCTCTCTAGCATAAATATGTTCCAGTGGGATATTTAACTTGACTGTCTAACCTTAGTAGATACTAAATTAAGTACTTTCCGTCTTCCAAAAAGTAATAATTTTAATCTTTCCTCAACTGTAACTGTATTTAAAGAAAACAGATCTTTTAGAGTATACTGGTTATCTGTTTATGTTAATTGGTTAGAGGTACTGTTGCCATAAGTCACTTTCTCAGATGAAGTCAACAAATTGTAGTTGAAGAGGAGGTTAGAGTCTGGGCCTCTTCTTTGAAACTGTTTATCAGTTTGAAAGACTGTTTATCAGAAAGTGAGCAGAGGATGAATTCATATTTTACCGTCGAACCTTTGGCCCCTTTTCATATGTGTTTTTATGGCATGTTCACTGCTTCCAAATAGTAATACCCTTTTTATTCAGGCTTCCTCCATGTTCTGTCATTAAAATCATTAAGGGCATTTCATACTATTCAAATATTCAGAACTAGATTAGCTAAATTCCCCTCTTTAGGGATGTAACTTTGTGAATATATAAGTACAATATTTCATAGATTCTGAAGCATGCATAGTTTCTTCATATTGTAACATTTCTTATATTTGATGGGCATCTTATACTGGCAATGCTTTTTCTTTCTTAAATATTAGTATGTCTTATAATAAATAAGTGGTATCTTTGGCTGGACCTAGAGGTTATCATACTAAGTGAAGGAAATCAGACATAAAGACAAATATCATATGAGATCACTTATGTGTGGGATCTAAAAAATAATACAAATGGACTTATTTACCAAACAGAAACAAATTCACAGACACAGAAAACAAATTTATGGCTGCCAAAGGGGAAAGAAGGAAGGGATAAATGGAGGGGTATGGGATTAACAGATAAACACCACTATATATAAAACAGATAAACAGCAGGGATTTACTGTATAGCACGAGGAACTATATTCAATATCCTGTAATAAACTTTAATGGAAAAAGAATATATATGTATACACACACATATATTAAACTGAACCACTTTGCTGTACTCCTGAAACTAACAGTATTGTAAACCAACTATAGTTTAATCTTTTTTAAAAAAGAAATAGACGCTCTTAAATTCAATGAAATTCTGTAATAATAAAAAGGCAGTATATCTAATCTAGAGAAAAGCCCCCCTTTCATAGATAAAAGGAATAGAGATATTAAAGCACATGAATTCCAGTAATCATTTGTGGTGACCTTTGGCATAATAGAATTCTGTCATGCTAGAAACTGAATACTTAAGTGACTTCTCAACTTTTCACATGTAGGGTTTCGTCTTTGATGTCTCCTTTCACAATTAGAAAATCAAGGAGGGCAGAAGAAGAACAACTGTAAATCTTCTTTGCTGTGCATTTTTTATCACCAGAGAGGGGTTTTGCTCTAGCAGCATATACTGGGGAAGTAAAGGTTCCATTCCCTCCCATAGTATTAGGAATGTAAGAAGCTGTTCAGCCTATTTGCTAAATCACTGTGCAAAACCACTAACTTAACTACTAATGTTATAGAGTCATATTTCAATGGGGATAAAACAGAGCCATCATAACTTTGGGGGAAAAAAATAATACTTTACATCTTTTTATATCTTGTCATGCAAACTAGAAGTTGAATTTTTTAAACTCAGTAAAGAAGACATACTAAAATGATCTTAAGACCATAAAAAATGAACATGGGTTGTTTTTCCACCAGCATGGGTGCCTGTCAGTGTACCATACAAAAGTCCTCTGTCTCAATACGTTATCTGTTGACATGAGGTTTCAGACTTAAAGGCTAAAAGAGAAAATTAACCCATCTTTATTTCAGCCATTTAACTAAAAAAAACAGGCTCCTTCATATTGTGAGCAAGGGTTAATATTAGCATTGGACTCTAAGCATAAACATTTAACAATGGTAAGAACTGACTTGAAAAAAACACCCAAAGTCTAGTATTCCTTAAATAGTTTTATCTCACCATATTGTAATGATATGCCAGGGACATTCATATAATAGATTGCTTATATGTTCTATGTTAACTCTGAAAAGATTCTAAGAATCATTACATGATGATAAATGCCTGGTAGAAACAGAATTTTAAACATTAGTAAAACTTATTTTTAATGCTTTTCCACAAAGAAGATACTGCATTTTAGCTATTTATTATTGATATACTGTATGTTTATATTAAATGTGTATTTATGTATGAACCCATATAGAACCTTTAACAGAATTTTAACCTAGAAAAATATTTTTTAACTATATACTTTAACATCTAGGAAGGAAGTCTCTTCAAAAAATATTGAAAATAAAATCTCTTCAAATACTAAAAATAGAATATCTTCAAAGAGTATTTCAAACAAAGAAATAGAAACAAATCTACAATCTAAGCTATGGTCATCTTTCTTCTTAAAAGAAAGCACAGGTAATAACATTTATTTTATTTGAGTAATTGTAGCTTCTATTTCAGCCTTCCTTCTTTAGGACCTTTGGGATGTTGACAACTTCTAAGTCTGGGGCAGGTCTTAGGAATCAGTAATTTTTCAAACTCATATATGGGATGATTCTGATACGCAGTCAGGTGTGATCCAGGGGTGTATATTACATAAAATGATAACGATAGAATATTAAAGTTTAGAATGGATTGAAATACCTGTGAAAGCAATAAGTTCCAGTCTTTCAACAGTGGTTTACTGAGTGCCAGACACTTGTTTGGAAGCTGTGGGTATAATAGTTATCAAAAGGAAAGATGCTTGCCCCTATGAGGTTCACATAGATAGCCAGCTATTAAATAATAATAATACAAACAAGTAAGACAAAGACAGGTTGGGCTGGGTACTATAATGTAAATGGCAGAGGGAGGACTACCTTCAATCTGGGGATCAGGGAGCCTCTCTCATGATCCTCAGTGTTTGTGAATTCAATGAGTCCCTGTGACATCACATGAAGTTCTTAATTCCCTATTATGACCATCTCTGATGACACCAGTGTGTTGAGTCTGTGAACAGGCTGGGTACACACTGTAAGGTTAGAGTGGTTGTGAGCCGGCGGAGACTGTAAAGGAAACAGGTAGATGGCCTGAATAGCCCAGGCATCACACTCTGGGTATCTCTTTTGAGGACGTTATCTTTTGCTTGGAATTAGGAGTTTCCCCAACTTTTTCTTTGGAGGGGCAGAGCCTGATTTTTCTTAACATTGTCTTCTGTCAACCTTTCCTGGGTTTCCTTATTTTCTTCCTTCTAACACCAGTGTTTCTGCATATTTAAAGTAGCTCATGGCCACACCCCATCAAAGAAGACATCGCACAAGACTTCCCACACACTCAGAATTCTAAAAGCAGGGGATGATGTAGCACAAGTTCAGGTTGAAACTGTGAAATTCATCTGCAGAGCAAGAGTTGGCAAGCTCAATAGTGTTTCCCAAAGAGATAATTTTAGGAAACACAGGGTAAACTTTTTACAATAGTAGTATATTTTAATGTGTATTAGAAAAAAAATAAGAACGTGGTTAAGAATATGGACTCTGGAGGCAAACTGACTCCCAGATCTACCTTAATTAGTGGTGGTAAGTTGGGTGAGTTATTTAACCTGTCTCCTATCTCTCAGTTTCATCTACAAATGGGATAGAAACAGTACACACCTCATTGAGATGTTGACAGAATTAAATAATTTAATATGTAGTATTCAGAAGAGTAATGGCATAATATTTGCTGTGATTGTTCTATCTTTTATTAATACCTCTGTCAATTTGGGGTATAATTTTTAAAATTTTTTATTTACTTTTGTTATCTTTTGGTCATACAGCATGACATGTGGGATCTTAGTTTTCTGCCCAGGATTCCAACCTGTGCTCTCTGCATTGGCAGTATGGAATCTTAACCACTTCTTCCCAATAATTTTTATGATGTAGCAAAATTTCAAAGTTAAAAAGGTAGATTAAAAAAAGATACTAAGTAAATAGTATAGCTTACTTTCATATGGCAAAATGGATGAAGTGTTATAAGAATTACTAAAATTTGGAAAATCTCTGCCATGGAGATTTTACCTCTTAAATATTTCTCTAATATCTCTCCTCCTATCCCTGTTTTAACAGTGTGCTATCAACCATCTTTTTCACCTGGACTTTTTTTAAAATGTTTTCTTTTGAAATATTTCAGCTTATAGAAAATGAGCAGAAATAGTATAAATACTCCAGTAACCCTTCATATACAAGCAACTGTTGATTTCAGGGGTAAAGATCTCATGATCCTTTACCCTAAGTCAACATGTATTTTCTAAGAATAAGCACAATTTAATTAGTTAATGAATTTCAGGAAACAAACCTTCTTCTTAACCAATATGTAAGACTGTCTCCCCAGTTTAGACGAAGAGCAAGACATACACACATATACACAACCATTGAGTCTGTTTGGGGATTTTGTTCCTGAGAATAATATTTTCTAGTTTTTGCTGTCTTTTGGCATATTTGTAGTCAAACAGCACGTGTTATTGTGAGTTGTCAGTAAATGCAGTCTGAAAACTGCTTAGAAAATTCCCATTATTAGAATTCATTTTGAGCTGGCTTTTTAACAGCTATAAGGCCTCTGAATGCAAAATAAAGAAACAGAAGTAAGAGGTGGGAATCTGCAAGTTTCCTCTTCCACAGTTTTATTCAGTAAAGTTACTGCTGGGAATCCGTACAGAATCCTGGAATCTTCAAACATCTCTGACTCCTATAAGACTTGAGAAAATGTGAAGGTGTTTCATTTTGTCACAGCCTTTCTGAGGGTAATGACAAAAGACTGAAAGATTTTATGGTTTCTCCATCTCACTCCCCTTCCAGAATGTTACCTGGACTTTTTAAAGGTGGTTTTTTTTCCCTAGCCACCTCTCTCCCTGCTCTTTTTGTCTTTTTTTTTTTATCGGTCTGCCCTCAAAATACAGTTTCTACCCTGCTCTCCAAGAGTTCCTTCAGAAATTAAAAATTTATCATACTTGTTTCCCTACTTAAATCTTTCATGACTAGCCCCTTCATTCTTAGGATAAAGTTCTAACTCCAAGACTCCCGGCCCACTAGAATCCATTATCCAGCTTGTACCCCTCTGGCAACATCTGTCACCATTTCAGTCTCAACTTTGACCCATAATAAGCACATCAAAGTGTTACGCATTGTTTGTGTACTGGTTCATGCTGTCCCCTCTCCTTGGAAAAACTGATCCATTCAGACCGGAATGGGTGTCTCCTCTCTCCTGTGTTGTCTCATGTACCCAGTACACGTCTCTCTCACTGGACTGTCATATTGTTTTACAGTTATCCATTATGTTTCTGACTCCCCAGTTAGAGTGTGAGTGAGTACCCTGAGATCAATGATGTACATTTTAGTGTTCGCGGGGCTCTGTATAGCGCCACTCATTGAATGGGTAGTCAGAGTGGTGCTTATGTTTTATTTTTCAGTTATCTTATGAGTTGACATTAAGAAAAATAATTAATAATGTTATATAACCTCTGGTCATATCTAGAACACTTCAGATATATCTGATGTGTGTGTGTGTGTCCATGGAGAGGGACAATTTTATTCTCAAGTATTCACACAGTGAATATCTGCCTAAGAAGAATTACTTTTCAGCCTCTCCAGCCTTACTTTTACTTCCCAAGGTCTTTATTTTACATTTATATTCCTATAAGAATTTAAGAAATATATTTCTATGGATAAAAGAATTTTTTTCTTAAAATTATATTCTTTATAAACAAAACGGTTTCCATTTATTACAGTTTCAAGTACCAAACAGTTAACACTAACATCAGCTCAGTATTATCAGTTTGTATATTTTCCTCTTTCACTTAGCAGTTTTATTACCTTTTTTGGGGAAATGGAAATCAGGTAAGTTTATTGCAGTGCTGTTTAGTCATGAAAAAAAAAAAAAATCCAGGACAGGAGAATACATAGTAACATGTGCACTTGCTACATTATAATTTAGGAGTGACCATTTTAAATTTATGAATATGTTTCAATATTTACTAAATTATATATATTGTTTTAGGTGAAATGAGCAAAAATGTACTCATTGCAGAGCAGGAGAAAAATAATGAACATTGCCCTGAGGATATCGATGATAAGTTGTCTGAATCAACAGATGATGATGGTGAGGATACCAGTGATGAAGATAAGGAGGAAGACAGCAACCCTAATAAGGATACTCATGCCCCATTAGAGTTAATGACAGAAGTAAGTTTTGCTTCTATAACTCAAAAAACTTAAAAATATTAAAATAGCTAAATAGTATATAGCCTTGAAGACTAAAAAAAATAGTTAAAATATCCTTGCCCACACACAGATGCTTACCTGATTACTCATCTTTGTTACTACTTTCATGAGGGTAGAGATGAGAGAATATTCTGGCAGTGACTCAGATTATTCTGGTAAAGTCAGAAACAGGAATAAGAGACGTTTTGTCATAAAACTCTCCAAAGACCTCTTTTAGAAAAAGTTTCTACTTACTTGGTACCATGCTAGTTACTTGGGATATTTAGAGATAAATAAGAAAGACATGTCTTTACCCTTGAGAACTAACAAACACTGTGTTATCTAATGCAATTTATAATATGTGCCAGTAGAGATGTTGATAAAATTCTCTGGGAACAGGGAGTCCTGTAATTGAGAAATGAAGCAGGAGAAACAAGGGGGTAAAGGAAGGATTAAGAGGAAGAGGCAAGAGCGGAATCTTAGAAAGTGAAAGGAGGAGGGACATGTAGGAACTCATTTGGTAAACAAAATGGCATTCCTGGCATAGGACATAGCACTGTATGTGTAGATCACACATGTACAGAGGGTGTAAGAAGGGGGACAGAGAGAAGAAACCATGAACTTGAACACATAGCCTTAGAAATTTCTCAAATAAAATACATAGGGAAAAAAGGGCTATCAGTGACTTTGGGGAGACTATTGGGTGGTCTAACATACGTATAATTATTGCCCAGATAAAGCAAGGGACCCACTATGTACAAGTAAAACATGTGACAACAATAATACAAAGGATGAGAAGGGGGGAAATGAAAATGCACTGTTACGACGTTCTTCCTGTATACATGAAGTTGTGTAATAGTAATAAAAGTTAGACTCTGATACCACAACATGTGAGGTAAAACTGTTTTGTCCTCCATAGAATTATCAGTAAACATTTGTGAACAGTTTTTGCATGTGACATTTCAGGCCTCCATGCTTTTGCTGTTTCCTATGTTTTGCCAACGCTGTTTCCTATGCCAGGATTGCCTTCTTGATTTGTTTACCAAATGAATTCCTACATGTAAGCCTGGTGTACATGTAAATAGTTCAGAATGTCACACATAAGAACAGTCCCCCAAGTCTAGTGTCCTTTTTTTTAAATAAAAGCTATCCAAATAATAATGGAAGATTTGTCAATTACAGAGCCTAAGTAAGTAAAAAAATGTGTAATAATGTTTAATTCCATGGGGAGAAGATGAACATGATATGTGGTATATTTTTTTTAAGTTACTGAATAATCTTAGTTTTTGTAAATATATATGTGTTCCTTTATGGAAAAAAAAATACTAAAATGATGTACATGGAGATGTTTAAAACAAACATCTCTGTGGGCTTCCCTGGTGGATTAGTGATAAAGAAGCCACCTGCTGTTGCAGGAGACACGGGTTCAATCCCTGGTCCAGGAAGATCCCACATGCCACAGAGCAGCTAAGCCCGTGGACCACAGCTCTTGAGCCTGTGCTCTAGAGTCCATGCGCCGCAATTACTTAGCCCACGTGCCACAGCTATTGAAGCCCACACTCTCTAGAGCCTGTGACCAGCCAACAAGAGCTGTCGCAATGAGAAGCCCACGCACCACAGCCAGAGAATAGCCTCCACTCACTACAGCTAGAGAAAAGCTCATGTAGCAACAAAGACCGAACACAGCCCCCCAAAATTAAATAAAATTATCTAGAAAAAAAATTCTCTGGATGGTAAAAATACAGATGCTGTTTAATTGGGGACGGGGTGTGTTTATTTAGCATTTAAATTTCCTACATACAACAGATGAACCTATTTGCAGGGCAGGAGTAGAGCTGCAGACGCAGAGAATGGACATGTGGACATGGTGAGGAAGAGGGGTTGGGGTGAATTGGGAGGCTGGAATTGACATATACATACTACCATGCATAAGGCAGATGGCTAGTGGGAACCTACTGTACATCACACAGAGCTCAGCCTGGTGCTCTGTGGTGACCTAGAGGGATGGGATGGGATGGGATGAAGAGGTAGAGGGCAGTCCAAGAGGAAGGGGATATATGTATACATATAACTGATTCAGTTTGTTGTATAGCAGAAATTAACACAACATTGTAAAGCAACTATACCCCAACAAATAAGAAAAGAAAAAAATTTATAACACATAGAAAAATGTGTTACAAAAAACAGAAATACAGACCAATGGAACGAGATAGAGATCCCAGAGATAAACGCAGACACCTATGGGTACCTTATTTTTGACAAAAGAGGCAAGAATATACAATGGGGCAAAGACAGCCTCTTCGATAAGTGGTGCTGGGAAAACTGGACAGCTCCGTGCAAAAGAATGAAATTACATCACTACCTAACACCATACACAAAGATAAATCCAAAATGGGTTAGACCTAAATATAAGACCAGAAACTATTAAACTGTTAGAGAAGAACATAGGCAGAACACTCAGTGACATAAAGCAAGATCTTCTATGACCCACCTTCTAGAGTAATGGAAATAAAAGCAAAATAAACAGGTGGAACCTAATTAAACTTAAAAGCTTTTGCACAGCAAAGGAAACTACAAATGAGGTGAAAAGACAACCCTCAGAATGGGAGAAAATAATAGCAAGGGAAACAACTGATAAAGAATTAATTTCCAAAATACACAAGCAGCTTATACAACTCAACACCAGAAAAGCAAGCAACCAAAATGGGAAAGGGACCTGAAGAGACATTTCTCCAAAAAAGACATACAGATGGCTAACAGGCACATGAAGAGATGCTCAACATCACTCATTATCAGAGAAATGCAAATCAAAACTACAGTGAGATACCACCTCATGCCCGTCAGAATGGCCATCACCAAAAAGTCTACAAATAATAAATGCTGGAGAGGGTGTGGAGAAAAGGGAACAGTCTTGCATTGCTGGTGGGACTGTAAACTGATAGAGCCACTACAGAAGATGGTATGGAGAGACTCCTTAAAAAGCTGGGTATAAAACCACCATATGACCCAGCAATCCCACTCCTAGGCATATATCCTGAGGCAATCAAAACTGAAAAAGACACATGTACCCCAGTGTTCACTGCAGCGCTCTTTACAATATCTAGACCATGGAAGCAACCTAGATGTCTATTGACAGATGAATGGATAAAGAAGCTGTGGCAAATATATACAATGGAATACTGCTCAGCCATAAAAAGAACACATTTGAATCTTCTAATGAGGTGGACAAAACTAGAGCCTATTATACAGAGGGAAGAAGTCAGAAAGCAAAATATAAATATATACTGACATATATATGGAATCTGAAGAGATGGCACTGATGAATTTATTTTCAGGGCAGCAATGGAGAAACAGACATAGAAAACAGACCTATGGATGAGGTAGGAGAGGAGGGAGAAGGGGAGATGTATTGAGAGAGTAACATAGAAATTTACAATACTATATGTAAAACAGATAACCAATGGGAATTTGCTGTATTACTCAGGAAACTCAAACAGGGGCTCTGTGACAGGCTGAAGGGTGGGGTGGGGAGGGAAATGGGAGGGAAGCCTGGGAGAGAGGGACATGGGTGTACCTATGGCTGATTCTTTTCAATGTATGACAGAAAACCACAAAATTCTGTAAAGCAATTATCCTTCAATTAAAAAAATTTTTTAATGTTACTTTATACCAAAAAAATACAATAAAATAGTAAAAGGAAAAACAGATGGGATAAGAACAATCAATATTGGAAAATATTGAAAATACATAATTGTATTGTCATATAATTATGGACTAAGTTCACTTTTATGGACTAATAATTATGCATATAATTATGCATACATATAATGAAGGACTCATAAAAGCTGTATCTGAACGTAAGGGATATTAAAGTGTTCGTGTCTTTGCCAGTTGAATCAAAGTATTCTCAGGTTGTTCGGTAGTGTGTGCACAGTGTGGCTGTGTCAAACAGAGGTGAGATCCTTACTCCGTGGCCCTGCCATTAGAAGTGCTTAAATATTCTTCACTAACTGATTGATTACAGACTCACTCCTGGAAAAACATGTGTAAAAGTTAAAAGCAAAAGAGTTAATCATTAATGGAATATTTTCTAGGGAGTTTATAACTGACATTTAAATTCTCTGTAAAACTACACAGCTGAAGAATTTCTTAATGTTTTCCAGTTCCTGAGAGCAGAAATGGGCCATGACTACCATCTGGCAAAAAAATTATGTCAGATGAGTAAGTACAAAATACTTCTCTTTTCCCAGTCTTCTCTTTGTTTCTAAATACACTCCCTAATATGTAAGATGGTTTGATTATCATACAGCTAGTGAATTCCCTCATAGTGTCTCGGTGAATCCTTGATAGTAAAAATTTGTCTAAGGACTAAAGTAAGTTAGAGTTCTAGAGTAACTTTGAGTGGGATAACCTGACAAGGATGCCATCAGAAGGTATATCAAAATCATTAGCTTCATGACAATGGGTTAGTAACATATGTCTTTAGTTTCAAAGAAATGTCATGTAGTAAAACAAGCTTTCCTTAGAAGTGAAGTTGCTCAGTCGTGTCTGACTCTTTGTGACCCCCATATGGACGGAGGAGCCTGGTGGGCTACAGTCCATGGGGTCACAAAGAGTCGGACATGACTGAGTGACATCACAAGCCTTCCTTAGCATGCAATTACTCCACAAATATTTGAGTTACCTACCTGCCAGGCTCCTCTGTCCATGGGATTTTTCAGGCGAGAATACTGTAGTGGGTTGCCATTTCCTCCTCCAGGGGATCTTCCTGACCCAGGGATCGAACCCACGTCTACTATGTTTCTGAATTGCAAGTGGATTCTTTACCACTGAGCCACTGGGGAAACCTTAATAAAAATTTTAAAAATTGTGTGCCAGTGCCGCTGTTTAGGCATTGGGCAAATAATCCCATACTTAATCTAGTGTCAGACAACAAACATTTAATTAGCATGTCATAGATAATAGGTGCTATGCAGGAAAAGGGAAGAAGAAATAGAAAGCTCTGGGAGGAAGCAAAGCAGTTTTAAGTAAGACGGTCCAGGAATGCTCACTGGAAGACTAGGGGAAAACCCTTGAAAAAGTTGTGGAAATGAGACCTGTCATCTGAAGAAAGTGTGTTCCAGGCAGGACTAATAGCAAATATCCGATAGATGAGCGTGCCTGACCGAGAACAGCAAGGAAGGCAGCAGAACCGGAGCGAATTAAGCCAGGGGACGTGTGATAGGAGATGAGGTCGGAGAGCTAACAGGTCAGGGACCGTGCAGACTGCAGAGCATCTTTCTACAGCTTAAAGACCTTGGCTTTCTCGCTGAGTGAGCAGAGAAACCCCTGGATACTTACGAGTAGGTAAATGATATGAACCACCTTACTTTTCTATCTGGGTTTTAGTAGTTTGACTTGATGTTCAAAATGGTGGTGGTTTTCTTTGTATTTAAGTAAAAAGAGGTTTGGGAGATTTGCTGAGTTTCTTAACTCTGTGGGTTGATGTTTTCATCAGTTTTGAGGATTTCTTGGCCATTAATTTTCAAAGATCACTTCTGCCATATTCTGTCCCTTTCTTCTATTCCTGGGTCTCCAGTTACACACAAATTAGATTTTTTTCTCTTGGTGTCCCACATGTGTCTTTACTCTGTTTTTTCTATTTCCTTTTATTTCTATGCTTTAGTTTGTATACTTTCTGTTGACCTGTTTTTAAGTTAATTTATCCTATCTTTTGCTATGTCCAGGGTGCTGTTAAAACTATACAGTGAATTTTTCATTTCAAGGATCTCATTTTCCAGTTTTAGAAAGTCCATCTAGTGGTTGAGAAAGATTCCAGGTCTCTGTCAAAATCCATAATCTTTTCAACTATTTTACCCATCTTTTTCTCTTTCTTAGTCTTAGTTATTTTAAAGGAGAAAATGGCAATTCTACTATTAAACTTTATTAATGACAGGTCTTGAAATATTAACTATTGTAGACCTGTTTTATGGTTAAAATCTTTTAGTGACAATGTGGTGTAGGGAAGTGGTGTCTACTCTTCCCTGCCTCACAGAGTCCCCACTGTGGATACAGTACTTCCTAAGTACTAAGCTAATTTTTAAAATTGATTTCTTGGGTACATTAACACTACCTATTTTATATCCAGGATAATTTGCCTTGTTTAATCCTTTCAGGCACTTTTGACCTTTAGAACCATCAAATAAAATAGTTTGATCAAAACTATTTTTGGTGGCCCACAAACATAGAATTTCCAATCAGAAAGAATCCTTAGAGAATCATGTCCAGTCCTCCCTTTTTATAACTAATGAAACCACAGCAGAGAGAAGGTTAAGCAGCATGGGTAGCCCGGCTCAGGGAGCACGTGACAGAGCTGGAGCCAGAACCCAAGCCTCCTTTTCCCACAACTGCCTTTCTTTTCTGTGTGGCCGGTACAGAAAGGAGTGATGCTCTAGCTCTAGCTCCCAATTCTCTGAGTTTTTCTTGTGGAGTCTAATTGTAGGAAAATGTATATATTACTTTTGTTTTTATACCTATCAGTTATTTTAGAAAAGCCTCTGGCTGAAGCTTACGAAATATAGACACTGACATTACCACATTTGTCAGTGAGTCTTGGCTGTTAGCCCTGCATTGTAAACAGCAGGTGCTCAATAAAATGCTTATGGACCTCAGTAAATGCAGTGCACATGCATTAGGTGCCAGGTAAGTGAGGATGAAAAAGTTCAAACTGATCTATCTTAATGGGATTATATTCCGTTAAAAACTCCCTCCCTTCCTTTCTTCCAGCCAATATACATTGAGCACTAACTCTGTACCAGACATTATGCTAGGAGCTGGAGAGAAAGCAGAAATCAGACCATACCTTCTAAAGTGCTCTAAACCCTTCTGGGGTTGACATCAGATGTGGTTTGGTGTGGTTGCACCCTTATTGACTGACTCATTCAGTAATACTGTTTACTCTTTTCTACCCATGGCAAATAGTGCTGCCTCTACACCTGAGGGTTAAATTCTAGGAAAGGATGCTATGGAGGGTCCTAAGATAGGCACCATTTTCCAGGGAGCCAGATGAGAAAGAATTGCTCCCAAGAGGAAGAAGAGGGAAATGTGGGCAAAAGGGCCCAGAGAATGGGGGTAGAGCACAGGGAGTACAAAGTAAGATTGTCTACCCCTGATGCAGATTGCCAGTCAAGGACGTGAAATGAGAGAAGCCCAGATTTTGCAAAGCCAGGCAGATTGAAGGAAGAAGGGAGAGTTGTAGACTGTCTCACGGAAAAGAAAGTGCTATTTCTTTGATGCCAATAGGAACGCTTGGCTGAGGGCTGCCTAAAGTCCCTCTTTGTGTTCAGAGGAATAGAACAAATTTTTTTCATCTAGCATGCACCCAAAAATATTATATATGAATTCTTAGAGCATAGATATTATTTTCTAAAATTTATCACATGATATTGAATATTGCCCCCTGTGCTATACACTAGGACCTTGTTGTTTATCCATTTTATATATAATAGTTTGCATCTACTAACCCCAAACTCCCATCCTGTCCCTCCCTCACCCCCTCGCCCCCTTGATAACACAAGTCTGCTCTCTACAGCATAGATATTCTTTTTTCCCCCATCGTCTAACTTTTCCACAGAACAATCCACCTTTCTCTCTCTATATATATATTCATGTGTATAAATTTACTCATGTAAACAGATTATGTATTTACTTTTTATGTATTTATATATGTATGTATTGAGCACCTACTATAGGAACATTCTTGCGTACAGTTTTTAATTCTTATAGCAGTTATGTGGGGCAGATAGGATTAACCCTATTTTACTAATGAGGAAAGCGAAGGTAGCTTTTCTCAATGGAGAATTGATTTACCCAAAGTCACACAGCTTCCCAGTGGTAAAGCTAGATCCTAAGTCTGACTTGAGAGCCTAAGACTTCTTGCTGTATTTCCATTTCTTCATTTGAATAATAAGCTTATATTTCTGGTCAAGCAGGCAGAGACTTGAAAAAGAGGTGCTTTTGTGAATCAATTGGATTGAAATGGCTCCTATAAATTGACCAATATATATTTTTATTTGTATCTAAGGCAACTAATTTATATGAAATAATACATCTTTGTCCCTTCAGCAGTGTCTTACAAATTCACTCTCTTGAATAGCCTCCAGTTCCTGGTATATTTCCTTGCCATGAAATCATGGTATGGTCATTTGTATCTTTACTTGGGTGCAGGGCTTCCCACCCTGCATCCCAGGTGCAAATGGTTTCTTTTCTTTTTTATCTACTCTTCTAAAACTTTTGCTGGTGAAGGCTTGGAAAAGTGGTTTTTAAATGAGACTAAAAGTCAGGAATACCAGGTACTTTTCTTAGTTCATCTCATGATTGACTGTGAGATTTCCTGTCAGTTTTCCCATTTCTTGGTCTCTTTACTTGCAGCTGAGTCGTCTCAGGGTGCCAACACTTCTGCTCATAGGCAGTCTGAGATTCTACAAAAATAACATGTTAAGCCTGGAAGACCTGTTTCATCAATTATAATACTTGTAAATGTTTAAGAATAATGGCCTGAAAACCAAAATGGTTCTCATCGTTATGCATCTAACACAAAAACAGACATAGCTGCAGAAGAGAGTTTCTATAAAGTTTTCTATTTCTTTTTCAGTAAACTAAATCACCCTTTCTTGGGGTATAATTTTATCAAGGCATAAAAGACTGCTTCCTACTCAGTCATCTATATTTATTTATTTATTATTTTTTTTAAATGTTTTGAGGTCTCCCGCTCTGTCAAGTACTCTCTTAGAGCTGCAACAGTGAACAAGACCAGCGTCCTGTCTACCCTAAAATTGCCTGCCATCTGACGGCCTTAGAGCCCCGTGGAACTCAGAGCTTGCCCCACCCCCAGCCCCAGCTCCCTGCCTCAGCCCTTCAGCCGGAAGGAAGCATCTGCTGCACATTTAGGAAGGAACCAAGCCTTTCTCCAGGCCCAGAGTCACTCCAGGAAAACTAATAATCAACATTTATTCAGTACTTACCATGCAGCAAGGACTAAACTAAGTACTTTGTCTGTATTATCTCCTTTATTCATCAGATATCCTGATGTGATCAGTAGTGTTACTATAGATAAGGGAACTGAGGTACAGAGACATTAAATACTTTCCCCAAGGCGACCCAGCTAGACAGTGGCAGAACCAGGATTCTCACCTGACAGTCTTTCTTCAGGGTCCGTACTGGCCCCTGCTTATGGGCCCTGGTTGGGAAACAACCCCAATGGCATGTGCTAAGGGCTTCTCTTGCCTTTTTACAAACCCTAGTGACCTGTCAAAAAGTAAAAAAGAGTTTTTTATTTATTACCTAGGATGAATATGGGGGCATCCCTGGTGGCTCAGTGATAAAGAATCTCCTGCAATGCTGGAGACCTGGGTTCTATCCCTGGTTGGGAAGAACCCCTGGAGGAGGAAATGGCAATCCATTCCAATATTCTTGCCTGGAAAATCCCATGGATGGAAGAACCTGGTAGGCTACAGTAAATGGGATCACAAGAGTTGGACACAACTTAGCAACTAACCCACCACCACTGGGACGGATATTACAGGGCTGAGTTTCAAAGAAGATACTTTCACTCACTCTGAAAATTGACAGCTGCCAGCAGTTTTTGTTAAACCATGAAAATAGCTGATCCCATACTCCATTCCCATGGAATAATCCTAACTCCAGCATGAAATTTTCTAAATTGTGTTCCAGGGAATATTAGTTCAAGATTGCCTAATAAATATTCCACCAAGAAAGATTCCAAGGGAATAATAAATTAGGGAAGCCATATTCTCTTCTCTGTAAGATACATACTAGTTCTGAGCATATTAATGGTTATATAAAATCCTGCAGTTGCTCATTACTGTAAGCTTTGATTAACTTCATTTAACCTAGTTTCCCACATACATATTAACATCTTAAGAAACTAGTGTCTCAAGGAGCAAGTTGGAGAAACTCTGCTCTAGGAAGAGGCTGAACCTCAGAGAAAGATTTAGACTGCTAGTGATAAGCATGTTTTAGTTCAAGTTAAAATGTGTAAAAAGTCACTTTTATTAAAGCCTTAAAAGATGTATAAATACCCATAGAATCCTTAAAAGCAGGTTCTGAGCAGGCACACACTCATGCTGACCCAGATTGACGGCACATTGTTATGTTAGTGGATTAGAAAATAAAGACATTGGTTTAGTGTGTCCGGATGAAAGTCAAATGGGGTGAGGTCCTCTGAGCCACAGGGGCCTAGTTGAACCATCCCACAATTCTTGCTCTTAGCCAGACAAATAGCACACTTGATGTTTCAGTGCCCCCTGGGGGCCATCAAGATATTACACAGAAGTCACAGCATTCAATGGATGATGCAGAATAATGAATACGCCTCAAGGCAGGTAAGAAGCCAGAGAGAGATCAGTAGAGCAGGATCTGAAAAAATAAGTTAACTAGTGTATAAAACTCTGAAACAAAAGGTATAAAGCTTTCTGGCTTCTAGGACATTGGTAACATACCAACAGGCCTAAAACATTGTTGATTTAGTCCAAAGGAAAGAGGACACATTCACATAAAGGATCAGCAAAAAGGAATAAATAGCACTTAAAAACAATGGATCCTACGAAGAGGTGAGAATAGTGTTAAGTAGGTGATGACTGGGTGTCATTAGCAAAGTCTCCATGTATTACAGGATTTGTACCTTGTTTGGGGAATGATTATAGTCAAGAAACAGCATGGCTAAAGCCTTTGAGGGATGTCTCACAGTGATGGAGGTTGCATTTTTTGGACAGGTGGTAGAAAATATAATGAGGATTATTTCCCTTGCAAAGTACCTAAGATAAGTAGAACATTTTCTCTGCGCTTGGATGTTCCTGTGGTATAATTGTGGGTGCTTTTGCTTTGTGCATTTTCACTTAACTGATTGACAGTTTCAATCTCATACTGAAGAGGTTGTTTGCTGAAACACTTTGAACATTAATAACACGCATTCTGTTGTCCATTGCAGTCCTAATCTATGAACCAGAAAATCCTGAGGCCAAGGAGTTTTTCTCACTGATTGAAGAAATGCTGCTGCTGGGTAAATTTAAAAATTGAAATTCCTTCTTTCTCATAGAATTATGATCAGTCACTATTTAAAAATCCATTATCCCAGGAAACCGGCAAAGTACATCCTCAGGAAGTAGTTAAGAAAAGGCGAAATGATTATCTCAGATGGTTTCATGAAGCCAGCTTGTCCTCTATGGATGGTCACGATGACTCCCTTTCCTCTGTGGGGTGGAACCGCCCAAGCAGCTCAAGCTCCCCTGGGCAGACAGTATTGTGCACTGACAGAGTCCCCAGAGGGAACAGTTCCTGCTGATACCCCAGGAACTGAAAAGGTTATCCCACGGTTCCCAGCAAAGTCTGTACCCTCTACATTACCCTGAATCTCACTTTACTCTTATTGTATTTAAGTAAGAAGTTGACAGTAGTAAAAAAAAAAAAAAATTTATAGACCAATGTTTTAAATATATTTTTAATCCACGAACATCTTTATGCCAGTAAAAATATGTTCTTTGTACCACTGCTTTGACCCTCAGCTCAGTTGTCACATTCTAAAACTATGTCTTTCTTGATGGAGGGGGAAACAAGGAGGATTATGATTTTTCAGGGTAGAAATATTAAGAAATATTTTAAACAAGTCTCTTCCTTTCTGTGGCAGAGAAAGCACAAAATCTTGAGGAAGATGATGACGAGAGTGAAGACGACAATAGTGAGAGTGAAGGAGGGAGCACTGAGGATCCAAGTGAAGAAAGCTCTGATGAGTGTGAAGATGGGTGACGATAGTTGCTGCTATAGTTTAATCTTCATGTATGTTCATTACTGTATACTGTGGAAATATAAAGAAGAGAGCTGCATTTCAGTCTAATTGTTCTTTATTTGGCATAGAGTTCCTTTAATTTATCCATATTAGCTTGAGCTCCTTCTTAATAGGTAGATTTCAACTCAATGTGAGCTACTCAGAAACGGAAATAGTCATTGAAAACACTTAAAAGCACTAACAATGTGCCAGGTACTGTTGTATATACATTAATTTGTTGAATCCAACAAAACCATGCGAAGAACACTATCATTGTCCCCATTTGACAGATGAGAAAACTGAGGCACATAGAGGGTGGATCACTTGCCCAGCATCATATCCCTGTTGATCAGTAGAGCCTTGATCTTTATACGAACATTATGACTCCAGAAGCATACTCCTAGTCCCTACCATGTCCATGCAGTTTTATTTATATCACTTATTTCATGTTCTTTATAGCATGTATCAGTACCTGAAATTCTTATTTACCTTTTTTAAAAGTTTTTATTTGTACTAGAGTATATTTGATTTGCAGTGTTGTTTTAGGTGTACAGCAAAGTGATCCAGTTATTCAGATTCATATACCTATTTGTTTTTTAATTCTTTTCCCATTTAGGTTATTACAGAGTATTGAGCCGAGTTCACTGTGCTTATACAGTAGGTTTTTGTTGGTTATCAATTTTAAATACAGTAGTGTGTATATATGTCAATCCCAAACTTCCAATTTATCCCTCCCCAACTTGTTCTTTTTATCTTTTCCCTTGTTGTCAGAAGATGTAACCTCCACATAAGCAGGACTTTGTCTTTTTTACCATTATATCACTAGCAACTGGACAGGTGCCTGGAAAATAATGGGATGTGTATACCAAGTGAATGAATGAACTGAAAGTTAAGGACAATGTTTATATTCTTTCTTAAAACATTTATAAGACTTTATTACACTTTTATGTATCTGTTACATTATTTTTCTGATTCTGTATTCCTTGATGAATTTCTGCCACCTTCGAACTAGGTTATAAGGTAACTGAGGTAAAAATGAGAAAAATATTCCTAAATAATTTGTTTTGAGTGTGCCAATCTGATTTGGGGTTAGGCAGTTTGAGTTTTTATTCTTATATCAGCACAATATCATGTCATATCCAAAATGCTTGAAGCATAATTCATTCTTTGGGCATTTTGTAGCATGCTAACATTCAGAGGAAGAAATCCTGCTGCACCATTTTTGTAGAACTGTCTGAAAGAAGTAAAGACAGGTATGTATAATCATCTAGTTGCATAACTAGTTGGATAGCACCGCAGGGCTGGCTGACAGAGACCACAAGAACTGCTTGTTCTTTTCATTTGTAGGTTGTTTGTTATTCCTCCTATAACCACAACCATATGTCGATCAGGGCTTCCCTGGTGGCTGACAGTAAAGAATGCCTGCAGTGCAGGAGACCTGGGTTCAAATCCCCTGGAGGAGGGCATGGCAACCCACTCCAGTATTCTTGCCTGGAGAATTCCATGGACAGAGGAGCCTGACAGGCTACAGTCCATGGGGGTAACAAAGAATCGGACATGACTTTTGATTTAAAAGCAATAAAAAGAACTCAGAAAGAGACATTCTCCAGGAAATCTGGGCATGTAAGTTTTTGCTTCTATCAGGACCAGGATGCACCCGAGAAGTTTGGGCTTTCTTCAACTATGATGCTCACCTAGCAATCCTAGGCCACCTACACTCAGCAGAAGGCAGGCAATTATAAAGGCAATAAGTTGAAACTTCGACTAGAGCCTCAGGGCATTCTGTTATCTGGGGCTACTTTTGTCCACTGTAAGCTTTTAGATCATCATCTTCCACTCTTTGGATGCTCGGTCCATGGGGATAGAGGGACGAAATGAAGAGTCATGGAGAGGCTGCTGCCAGCTGAAGGTGGATATGGTGGATAAGAAGGGTGGAGGCTGGACTTCATCTCTATTCACTCCCTGCACCTGGTACCTCTGCACCAACACACAACTGGCAACACCTTGAGGGATGCTCTGGACAGAAACATTGAAATTAGACAAACTGAGGTTCAAAGCTTTGCTGCCTTTACTGGAAAATGGGCATGTCAAGCCACCTCCTAAAATCTCATTGTCTCATTAGTAAGAGATTAGGATAATCTGTCATCACGTGTGACGCATGGTGAAAGTGAAAGCTGCTCAGTCGTGTCCAACTCTTCGTGACNACTGAATCCTGTTGATTAAAGAGAAGCAATCATATATTACAGTAAATCCCTTTAACATAGTAGAGATATACCAGTTTTCAATTCTACCATAATTAGAAGTAAAGTATTAACCCTTACAACACTTCAAGTAGATATATTCAATTTATAGAGCACAAAAAGTCTCTTCTTGAGGTGGAAGGTCAAACTGAGAATCAGAACTCTTCAGTTTGTCTTAAAAATCCAACGTGATTATAAAGTTATTAAACTCTTATGTCTTACAGGATCACAAAGAGCTCAGGTAAATAGGGGTGAAGAGCGCTTGCACTGAGCCGTGAACCCCTGCTATATGCAGGTGTGTGTGTGAACATGGGTGCCACGGGCCCCGTTCAGCGCTTCATCCACGCCTGCCTTCTTTCGTTTGTCATCTTCTCTCTTTTTTGAAGAAGAATAAGCTTAAAATGTTAACTGGGGTACTGGAATTCAGACGGGGAAATTAAGACTATGAGATGCTAGGTTATGTTTCAGTATGAGAGATCTAGTGAATCTTGAACCCAGTGTTTCATGTTGCTTCACACATAGCTAAACTGTCGGTGAATCAGCACACAAGCGGTGTCTTTGAAGACAGTTCAGTTCCAGACCTGTGCCTTCTTCAGAAAATTACAGTGGTGGGAAGGAACCCAAACAATCAACAGCTTGCAAATGTACAAGAATATCCACTCAATGCACTTAAGATGGAAACCCAATAATATAATTTCATTTATTTATTCAATCAGTATTTACTGAAAGCCTACTACATCTTCTATGGAGAACAAAACCTGGTCCCTGCTTTTAAAGAGTACTGGTGTAGTTGAAATGCAGGGTGACAGACACTGGCATTGAGGAAGTCCAGGGTGCTAAAGAAGAACACGGGAGGGGCGCCTAACCCGGGCCAGGTGTCCAGGGAAAGCATTCGGAGGGATGTGGAGTCTAAGCTGAAAAGACAGAATGAGGAGAAACTAGCTACAAGGAGAGGATGTGGGGAAGAGCGTTCTATTAGTAGATACATCTGAGTTCAGAGAGCAAGTAAGCATGGTTGGATTGCAGAAGGAAAATGGACCAGTTAGAGCCAAGACAGATGAAGCTATAGTAATAAAGGGGCTGGGGAATGGAGGATCTTACAAGCCATATTAAAGTTTGAACTCTATCATTAAAGTAGCTGGAGGCCATTGAGGGATTTTAAAGAAAATAATGACTGTATTTTGGAAAGAGCATTCTAATAGCCAGATAGAAAAACATGTTCTCAAACTACAGGTGATGATCCATCGGTCAGTTATGAAATCACTATAGTGAGTCAAAAATATCTGGGTTTCTTAAATACATAAAATACACACATTGCAAAAGAGTATATGGGAATTACAGTTTTGTTCAGAAATTTTTTTGTTCAGAGTTTTTGCGTGTATGTCCTTGATCTTGATGAGAAATGTGTTTCTTCCTAAGGATCTCCATTAAAAAAAAAATTATATGAAGCACAGAGAACAGACTGGTGTGGATTGGAAAGGAAGAGCGTCAGGTATTCCAAATCCCGATCATTTTACAATCATTTAATGCCCTACCCTCCACTGTACTTTCCTCCCTAAGATTCCAGTAGAGAGGGACAGATTGAAGAAAGGGGAATAACTAATGAAGTAAAGACCATCTAATGCCTTGGAGAATGTATATGACATCACATTAGTGTGTGGCAGTAGGTTCCATCTGGACAACTGCCCCAGCATCCAAATGTGCAGTCAGAATTTGTGGATTCCAAACCACAGATCCAGAGGGCCAATTATTAGTTATACATACTCGGATTTTTGGCTGCATAGTCAGTCAGCACCCATGATGTTCAAGGATCAACCATATATTATACAAGATGATAACCTACATTCCCTTTAACTGAAGCGTGTTTTTTCCCTTGGTTAATGTAAGGTATATGTGATTTTGATTATTTGCCTGGAATGTTGATCTTGGACAGGTAGGGGTGGGCAGTGGGGAGCATTTAACCAGGGCTCATGATGCCAGATGTGAAGGAAAGCCTGGATCCACTTGAAATGTTTTGGGGTTCTAGGCAAGTGTCCTATATTGGGAGGTATTGAGAACTCATAAGAGGCAGGTAAGAGGTGGCCTCCAAGACCAGTCTAAGGAGGACAGAGGTCTCTCTGATTGGGTTTCCTAATAAACTACCCAGCTGACATGGGATGTAAGTTATAATGCTGGGCTGGGGTGGGGTGGGTGTGCCAGAGTTGGAGAGGCTTGTGAAGTGAAACACTGGGAAACGAGATGGGCTTGGGTAGCTACTGTGCCGAAAGTTTTCACTTTCATCTCAGGTTCAAAGGATTTGTTAAAAGAATAAGCCACTTGTTCTATACAAATGAATAATGCCATTATTTGTTAGAGAATTATCTAGCTTACTTTCAATATACCAACATTAAAAGAAAAGAGAACTAGAATTAGCAGAGGACACATCACAAAACTGGGTTTTGACCAACATCTAGACTCAAACAGTGCTGGGAAGTCCTGTGTCACAGCACATCTGGAGTCCCAATTGGCAAAAGCTCCCAGGCAGCACATCCACTCTGTGGCTGAGACTTCAAAGATTGAAGTTCAGGGCTCCCATTTATAATTCCAGGAGGCAAACTGATTTCGTCATCAGTCTGTGAGCAAATTTCAGCTCTTTTCATATTAATGCTGTTTGTTTTGTCTTAAAAAACTTGGAATGTTAAGCCTGGGGCTTGGTTGGCCAGAGCTCCTGCAAGGGCTCAACAATCTCAAGATTTGTCCCCGTCTTATCTATGGTGCTGTAAGTCTTACACTCACAGCAGGAAGTCAGGGCACTCAGGGCCGTGTCCAGGCAGGTTGGAAGCA